TCTAAATTTAGTTATTTTTTCAGTTATAATATATATCATTAAATAGCTACTGTGTAGTTGCTTCCAGCAATATTTGATATAGTTTTCATAAAAACAATCGTAGAGAGAAAAATCTCAGTAAAAGCATTAATCGATACAATATCTAAATCCAATACTATTAGCAAGCGCTTGTATAATAAGATTGAAGAAGATTATGGGTTAGAAGGTATATCTGGTGATGATTTGATAGGCAAAGAAATAAAATGCTTAGATTTGCAATTTCGGTATAAAGGAAAATAGCGAAGCTTAGATGGTATCGAAGTAATAGATTTTCAAATTCGCAAAAATCTATCATTTGATTTGGTGCTAGGACGGAATTGGTTATGGATGCGCGAAGTAAAAATTAGCTTTGAATATTCTCCCAAAACTTATACTCGTCATGCTAGGATTGTAATAGATGATATGAGTATCCCATTAATCGAAGAAAATAGTAATAAAGCCAGCTCTAGTAAAAATAACTTATCTGATTCTAAAACAGAAATCGATAAACCTGATCTAAATTTAGAGAAGTTTATAGATATGTTTAAGAAATTATCTATAGAGACTAATTTATCCAGTTCTGATTCAGAATCTACGGGTTCAGACTGGTACGATCTTGATCTAAAAAAACCCTGAAAGAAATGCATCCATATTACAAAGAAAAAGGTTATCTCTCCTAGCCGAAAACATCGTAGAAATAAGCTAATTAGAACAAAGTAATCTTTAATCCAGAAAATTATTATGGGTGGGATCAACATAGAAGTATTTCAGAGAAATGACATATTACTACGCTACATTACTGCATCCTGGTGACATGGTGTCCTGCCTTGGCAACTAGAAAAAATAAACACTGCACCACATTACTGGACTGATCATTGAATAAATAAACCTGCCTACATCTGGCCCGCTTCTACACCACCTACAGAAAATATTTGGGAGGGTGGAGGATTAAGAGTGAAAAGTGAAACCTTCTGCCAATATTTTATATAAAGATTACACGGAAGGCTTCACTTTCAGATACCCACCCAGATAGCTCTTGAGATCACAATTGAGCAATATTTCTATTTTCATTCAGGTAATAAATCGGTAATTTGCAAATCGCTTATGATCACAGTAGATCGAGTGATTCCTATCTATATTATGTATGAACGGATTGTCAAACCCAAAATTAGTTTTCATAAAATCTGCAAAATAAGTTTGTTAGTCTCTAAAGTGTTTAATGTATAAAAATGAGCTAAGTATAAAAAAAATTGCAAATACTTATCTGTCTATAATGTATACTAATTCTTTCAATCCTGCAAAACTTTATCTTTGAATATGGCTACTAACCCAAACCCCCAAAATATTTCATATCTCAAAACTCTTGCATTGAATATTCTTAAGAATAGCTCTCCGGATATTATTGCAAAAGGCATTGAAGTTTCAGAACTAGATCCATGTTCGTTATGCAACCAAGAACTTTTTTTATATGAAATAAAAAAACCAATTACTTTACTTACCTGTGGCCACTTATATCATCGTGATTGTATCGAAAGTTCTATTAAAATTAGTCCAAAATGCCTGAAACCTGGTTGTATGAAGGAGATAGAATCTGTGGTCGAAACACCTGGAAGTCAGAATATTGATTTAATGGAAATGTCACCTACGATATTTAAAAGCCCTCTGTTTACCCAGAGTGATACATCAAAAAAACGTACTAATGATCCCAAATTATTTCTGGATAAACTATCTAACAAAAAAGCAAAACAGATAAAAAAAGAATCGCTTACACTAAAGAAACTTATAGAAGAATTATCTACCGAACCAAGTACTCCGCAAGTTCTTGTAACTAAAAAAGAAAATGCAAATAATTTTGTTGATTTGTACAATAATATAACCCATGCAGAAACTAAAAATGAAATTATAAATCGGGAAATTATAACCAGCTATTATCTTTTCGGTAAAGCTCTATCGGAACAGCTTGAGCATCACAAGAAATCTAATCCTCCATATGCTTCTTTGTTGTTAGTTAATGAAGAAGTTAAAGAACAAATTCCCAATATTACGGATACTACATTGTGGAAAAAAGTAGAAAGATCATGAAAAATTTATAAGCTCTTTCTTAATATCGGAGAGGATAAGATTCAAAGAGTTAGATCTTTCAGTGCATTGACCATTTCAAAATTAAGAAAAGAGGATATTGATAATATTATACTTACCATTTTGAAACAAAAAAACTAATCTACTGCGACAATCACGTGAGATCACATGTCCTGACCCAGCGGTCAGGATTGATATCGATACATAGTAATAGTATTAATACTTCATATACTTATATAAAATTAATAAAGTTTTTATCTATCGCCATTATTCGATTTTTAAATGTGTTCATGAAATAAATTATCTTTATGGGGATTATAATTTGTTTGTAAGATGGAGCAGGTTTGTATAATAAAAAAAATTAGCCACGTTGTATTTTTTCTGTTAATAAGCATACCTGCATATAAAAACAAACAAAATTACCAGTACTTCGAAAAGTGGCACATCTTTAGAGGTTGGAAGCATGGATGTAAGGTCTGTGACGAATGCAACCATCATTCGCATCTATATTGCAAAACGTGCAAAAAAGTAGCGAATGGAATATATAAGCGGTGTGAATGTAATGACGATAATTCTCGGATAATTAACGTTTAGTAAAAATAAATCAGAATCGATACATAATTTTCCATAATTCGCTCACATAACAAAGATATTCATTTAACATGTGTTAGAATAGTTCCGGGTACGTAAGAATTTATCTGTATCACCCTACTAGCTTATCGTTATGCATAATTAGCCACTAACCGAAGTCGGTCAATTAACTCATGCCACATATGTTCTGAATTTATTTTAGGCACAATGTATGCATGTACTATGGAGTATCGTGTCCCTTAATAATGATTTTAACCCTACATGGCTCTATAACTCGTGATGCATACACCTACATAATTTATAGAATTCTTTTGCATCATCGATAGAAATTTCTCTACATGAAAATTATGTCTCAACTTCTATCGTAGAAATTTTTTGATGTAAGAGCGCATGTATTTTCTTCTATCTAACTTTTCTAACCTTTCGGGTTTCAGAGAAGAGGTGAAAGAAAAACATATAAAAGGACAGTATCTCGAATTTATTGTTATTTGTTATCAAAAATTTTATTAATTTCTACGTTTTGCGCTTTTTATATTTTCAAATCAATTGACTACATAAGAATGGATACTGAAGAAATTTATTCTAAAGTTTACGATTTTTTAGTATCTGCCCCACTAGAACATATCACTGCGACCTCTGTTATCTTTCAGGGAATAGAAGAAGATTCTGAGATTTCGCAAAACGTTCTAAAAACTATTGTAAACAAAGCTGTAACAAACGTAAATAATCTGGCTACAACAAACACTTCGCGTCGAACAAAACTTCTCCAAATTAATCCGCAGGTTAGCGAGTTAACTTTTTAATGAAATTTTTTCGAATGATGATTTTATGTGGTTCATTCGTGAGACGGATGCTGAAAAGACAGTGAATAAACTGTCACCTACATTCTTAATCATCCTAATAGCTCTGCCCCAGGAATCTTTCCTCATGCATGAGAGGGTGATTAAGTTCATAGGTATTATGTGGCTATTTTAGTACCACACAGAGTTTTATCTGCGTGACGGCCGCACAAAGATAACAACTTTGCATATGTACTGACAATATATGCGTTTGTTAATGATGAAATTTTTATATAACTGAATACTGACGCATGGTATACTTGTATTAGTTCGAGAATGCTTTTGAAGGTGTTTGTAGTTTGCGTGACATTGGTGCCGTTGAAACGAACGTGAAAAGACCACTTAAATCGAAGCAGATTGCGAAAAACATAGATGAGTTAAAGAGAAAGCTTAAAAAAAATAAGTCACCGCTTTATCAAAGTCTCTACTCTAGTCTTATTCGAGAAAATCTATCCCAGTTAAAATGGGAAAATCCCCTGGCCAGCCAAGTTATTAGTGACGACTCAAAATTAGTGCAGGCGTTGGAGGATGATGAACTACGAGATTCCTTTATGGAACCGAAACGAAAAATGGTACCAAGATCTCTTCCAACAATTGTGCAAAGAAAGTGTAAAGAATTTGTGGATAGTTTTATTAAGGATCGTGTAACCAGCTTGCCACGAAAACTTACTCATAACGGGGAGTGGAAAGAATCTGGTCCTGAGCTTGTAAATGTTACTGAGAAAATTTTAGATTCGTTGTAAGCATTTTTTTATATTCAGTAACATTATATATACATCTATTACTTTGTTCTAAGTGCCTTATCAGAAAATCTTTCTATTGATTAGGAGAGATGCTTGGAATAATTCGGCGTTTAGTCCAGAGTTTGAGGAATCGCAAAGTGAAGGCACTTATGTAAACAATATTATATTACCGGCAATCCGTGCTACATTAAATTGCCTTCCACTAAGAAAATCAACATACGTCAGTAGTTCTGAACGTAAAAGCAACGCTAGTGCCGATAGAAAGGGGAACGGGCGGTTTGGGAAACGACCAGACATCATGTTCGTTATGAAACGGGGTGAAAAAAATTATGAACTTATATATACTGAATGTTCACGTCTGTCATGTAGTGAAAAAAAGGAGAGAGATGATGGTGTGAAGTTGTGGCGCGAAACCAATGATGGTATGTATTGGACTCGCAAGGGCTGTAAACCCGATAAGGGTGAATTTGGTATTATTGGGGTGCAGGTAGCGGGAAAAAAAATGTACCTTAATGTTCTTATTAGGGATAATAGCGACGTGCATCGGTATTATCATCTTCACGAATCGACAATACCAATTCAACAATCAGACCTTCCTGTCGTTTCAAAATTTATGGAGACCTTACTAATAATGCGAAATATCCTGATCGTAAACATGTCCTTACTTTATAGTGTGCCTTTAAATAGTTTAATGTCTACGGAAGATAGCTCCACCGTGGACTCTGATTAATCTTTGTTTTGATTATGTATTTTATTTTTAATATTAATAAAGCTGGCCCTGGTGGCTGATTTCGCATACGTAATCAGTTTACTTTTGCATGTGTATTTCGTGAATTTATTTATTTTATTGTAGTTATCGATGTATATTAACTCGCATATTATCAAAGATTTTTCTTGGCAAAAGCAAACGGCGTGACTTTTTTAACTTTTTGGTCACGCACTCATTATTTCTATTTA